TTACAAGTCAGAACAAATACTAAAAATCCATAATGAAGAAAATATCAAAATTTTAAATAAAGAGAAGATCCATGGCTTCCAGTTGAAGATGGAAGAATTTAAATCGGTTCTTCTATTTTTAGATTTAAAATTTTATTGTGCAGTGGCAGTGAGTCTCCGCTCCAGATGGAGCAGTTAGCTGAAAGGAGAACTTTGATGAAGGACATGCCACCACAAGGAAATGACACTTGGCAGACAGCATCCATCTTATGTAATGAATATTTATGAACAACCCCTCGTATTACAGGTGCTGGAAATAGAAAACTCAACAAAACAGATTAAATCTGCAGGAGTGGAACTTTGGTCTGGTGAATAATTATGGGACTCCATACTCCACATAGGAAGACTCCCTATTCCACGTGTGAATCATTATAGGGGTGGGAGATGGATTTCTACTACCTGCTAACCTTACTCCTGTGAACCTGTCGAAGGTACTTCAAGGCTTCTCTTACGTGTTTCTTTCTCCATGAAATCTTTAATCTAACTGCATAAGTTTATGCCTTCTTATGCACCAATACCATATTTTACCCTAATTGTACTTATCACATTCTGAAATTGTGCCCCTTCCAGTCTCTTGGGGATTCCTTATTAGGATTTGGTCTAGGGGTGGGGGAAGTATAAGGTAGGATCTGTGGGATTCCTATTCCACTTGTCTGGAGCAAATCTACTTTCATTGTATTACATCATGGATTTCTGAATCAGATGCCTTTCTAAGAGTTTTGTGATCAAAAACCTTGATAATAAATGGTTTTGACCATCATTCTCAATTGTAGGTATAATAATTGCACATATTATACACAGATTGCCAGTTGCAACCATCTTACTTTTGCTCAAAGTTCTGATTCAGTAGGCCTATACCTGGATAAACAAACTCCAAAGGCAGCTCTGATGCATAGTTAAATACTGATACGACTGCTCTAGGTGGCTACTACATTGCGATTTCCTTGAAAATATTAAATACTTTCTGATTTGTCTTTATATCTATCCTAGGGTCAGCAGGTAGTCCCAATCTTTAAGATTGTCAGCTAGGAAGTCTGGTTATGTTGCTGTAGCAGCAACAACAAATTTTATTGTTTTATTTCAGTGAGATGTAGTCCTGTGTCAGTGAGACAGGTCTGTCCATCACAGATAGGCGCGGAACTCTGTTCC